ATAACTATGTCCACATACAGTATTTACTATTTTTTATATAGAGACAAAATACAAGAAAACCAAACCACACCCAATTCAATACGAAGAAAACATCCAACTGCCTACTTTCGCTTTGTTGACCTCGATTTTTCAGAGTTTAACAAAAAATATTGTTTAACAAATAATATTATATTATTGGTGATACTTGRTCCTATAATCCAACTAGTCTGCTCCAAGTAACATAGTTTTGTTGTTTCTTCGGCTTTATTGTTCAGATTTCTATGTTCATTTGTACAAAAGCATAAAAAAAGAGTAAGTTTGTTTCTACATTCTGAGGGATAAATATATTCAAGCGTGAAGCTGCCATTGGTTTTGTTTGGACTGGAAATAAGAAAGTGCTTTGCTCTGAAACAAAAAAGCACAGAGTCAACAAACTAAATGATCACAGGATGAATGTATACATGTAAGCTTTGTTTCACTCAGGCACATGTCAGCTGAAAGAACAGTGAAGGGTGACCATCTCTAAAATGCTTCAATCTTTATTAATTTTCATATTTAAATTTATATGTTTGCATTTCTGTAAAATGCACAAGGAGCATTATCAGAATGATCTTTTGTTTAAAAATAATCACTGAATCTAGTGTTTTGTGCCATTTCAAAAGTCCAGTTTGCGTTTTCTTTTCTTTTGGAAAAAAACTCAAACTTCTTCCAGACATTGTTAAAACTTCGGACTCAAGATGTAACCGTGAAGATTTATCTGTTTCAGTTTTTAAAAAAGTGTATTGTTTTTGCTGTATGTCGCAATACGTTAATCTACTCCAGCTGCATAAATATAAGGAGGAAAAGATGAAGAAAGAACAACACTGAGTCGTGCTATTTTAAGACATTTTTCACATCACGGAAAGGTCTGTCAAAAACCAACAAGCCTGTTAAAGCCCCCTAATCTAATGAGGGCATGAACAGTAACCAGAAACACAATTATCTCTCAGGGTGTTGCACTCCAAACAAATGTCTACAAATATTCAAGTTAGAGAACAAGATAAAACAAGAGACTTAAGGGGATATAAACGAGTTTACACTAATCAGCTGTGGGATTAGGACAGCTCTTCTTTTGGGTTCCCCTTTTTTGTTCCCCCAAAACATTCAGTCAGGGTTTGATAAAGAACAGCTGGAGGGGTGGTGGAGTGATCCGGTGGGGTCTCTGTGGATTGGGTTGGCTTCTCACAGATCTCATCGGATCGGAATTTGGCATTTTTTTTATTGGTGTTTTGCTGGCAAGAGAACTGCAACAATAGTTCTGTTGCAATATGCGTGGGTCTGATGGGTCCACAAAAATATATCTCAAGGTAACATTTATGTGAAAGACAGAATGCAGACAGAATGGTTTCATCAGCTGAACAATGTGAAAGGGGCAGAATTTATATGGTTTATTGGTGTTGGGCCAAAGCCAAAAATTAAAAATCAAAAAAGAAATAGGATTAACACATCAGAAATCTAATAGTTTCCACAGCATTTATCACTTAAAGYCATGTTTGTTTTTTCCTTAAAAGTGGTTAAACCTTAAAAAAATAGCCATCTATACAGAGAAGATAAATACTGCTATCACAGGTGTGTATTAAACACAGTGATGTAACATAATCAGTTGAATCTGACCAGTAAATTGGTTTTATTAAAGGAATAGTTCAGCTTTTATGACATGTGGCTCGCTGTATGAATGAACAAAGCTTATTTCTGACCTCAGTTCATAATTTTTTTTAATTTGCCCTGAATGACGAGCGAATGGCTAGTCRGAGTGGGACCAACAACAAAGTGGATTGATGTTGACTTAAAATAGCTCCAGTCTGAAAAATCTATTTTATAAACCTTTTAACTGCAGACAGTTTTGCATTATGTGGTTGTTTGCATTGAACTCTGTGGTGGTCTGTAAATATGAACTGTAGGGGTGATGGGGTGCAGCGTGGGGTCTCTTCCTGCAGGAATATCATATTTCTGCTGGAGTAACAGTCACATTAATGGTGGTGATAACGTTTATATAATAGTGTTCTCATTAGTGTTTTGAGATTGGAGCTATTTTAAGATGGCAGCTTGGTCTGGGATTAACAAATCAGCTTTTTATCAAGCTGATCAGAATTAAAGTTTGTTTCTCCAAACAGGGTGTTTAAAGAGCTACCTATACAGATAATTATATTAGTACCTAATATTATAGAATGAACCATTTAAAAAACAAACATACTGAAACAAAAGCAAAACAAAATCCAGAACACGTTTCTTCTTTAAGGACAGTGTCAGTGAAGAGATTCTGAAGTCCAATTCAATTATGGCGCTTGAAAACATGATGTTCTTTTGAACAAAAAAACTCCATAAACAAATACTTTTTCCCAATGCAATTGGATGCAAAGTAATAAAAATAAAATACACATAAAAAATGACCCATGGTAGCTGATGAATGTTATAACAAGCTGTTCCTTGAACAGAACGTGGCTCCTCATGGTCCTCAGTATGCCCACAGGAGACATCACCGAACTGAAATAAAGTCAGGAAATTCCATGTCAATCCTCCACTGCCCCCCCACCCCCCACCCCGTTGGTAAACTGTCCAAGTTCCAAGTGGTAGCACTTGATCACATGCTGGGTCAGCATGGAAACTTAGCGATCACTGGCCGTTCATCACAGCTTTTGAGGTGAAAGGCTCACTGTCGAGGTTCCTGTTGACCTCCAACTGGACAGACTGTGGAAACAAACAACAGAGACAATTAAGAGATTTAAAATGCAACAAACAAAGAAACACAGACCTGAGTTGAACATAGACTTTAGAAGATGCTAACTACAAAGGAGAATAATTTGTTTTTCTTTTCTACAAGTTTTGTAAGGTGTTTTCAAGCATCCAGCAGGATAAATTTAGACACTGACTTTTAAGGGTTTGCTCTTTGGACCACTCAGTCTAATTCCCAGTACWAGACAAACTAACTGTATGAAACAATGGTGACAACAAAACAAGGCCATGTTGTCAAATCCAAAGGCATCAGCAAATAGCTTGATGTAAAACGTTTGACTACACACAGTTTGTCAGTGAAAACAAATCATGCAGTTGAGTTTTATCACTTTTTCTGTTAGCAAAAGACTTAAGAAATTAGAAAACTGAGGAAACAACATTCTGGGCCAGCAGGGCCAGCATAGGCAGTATAGGCAAATGCCAATGATGCTGTCCATGTAGAGGGGTCGCCACAAACGAGGGACAAAAAGGCGTGAGGTTATGTGCAGAGGTTACTGTGTGATAAAAGTATCATATGATGCAGTCAAGACTAACTCGTGGTGCTCAGTGTGTAAATAGAAAACAAAATAAGGATAATGGAAGTTTCACTTATGACAYTGGACAAAGTTCAGGATAAAGTTTGGTTTTTAGAGTTCTACCTTCGTAAAATACTGATTTTATATTGTTATATTAATCTCCCAAAACAAGTAAAATGCTCTTTAATTTGTAATGTGAGTAAAGTGGCAGTGAGGTTTAGAAAATTGCACAAGGGGACGCCACATGAAATCTTGCTCAGGACACCAAATTGGCTAGGGTTCCTGTTTTAAAGTAAATGTTTCTGACTGTGCTTGATGTGTTATTTCAGCAGCTCAACAGGTTGAGGTCTATCAGGTGGTTTTTTATGATTAAGAGAAAAATTCTATAAGCTCTTTATGAAAAACCCGCTGTTTTAATCCTCAAAAGGATGGAGTTCAGCATTGTTTCCTAAAACAGTCTAAGCCAGTTTTAAAGGGAAATAATAACCTTGACTGTAAAACATATAACTTTGAACCAGTGCATCGTTTAGACTTACGGTTTCCCATGCACTAATGGATCACCAAAATAATGATGGTTATTGACTTTTGAACTGTGTGCTGACAACAAACCAGATGGCTCATCTCCTCTTTAGCGTAGAGGACACAGTGATCCTATTTCTAAATATTTAAACATTTAAAATTAGATTCTTATGTTGACAGGGTAGCTTATTTCCTCTTGACTTTAATCCATTTAGATTGACCTCTGCACCAAAGAAGAAATTTCTAGGTCTCATTGACATTTCATTCTACACAAGGCAGAGTTCTTTCATTTCCATCTTGTTTGTATTAGCTGTTAGCTTGTTGATCTGGTCAGAAATACATTTAAGTTCAAACGCTTAACATAACCAGTTTCCATTTTTTTAGTGTTCTTTTTTGTACAAACGAACCACACAACTCTGCATCTTCTCATCATGGTTTACCTTGGCAACACTCTGTCTCTGTACTTTTGTGACAGAAGTATTAGTATGTGCGGTAGTATTTGTTTTTCTGAAGCATAGCACCCTCTGAAAGCTCTGCTTGAAGTTCTCTGAGAGGAAAGCATAGAGGACTGGGTTGGCACAGGAGTTGACGTAGGTGAGGATGATCAGGACAAAGTAGATTCCTGCGGTGGTTTGGTTTTCCGGAATAGTGAGGATCATGTTGACGATGTTGAAGGTAAAAAATGGCAGCCAGCAGAGTACAAACACCAGCACAATGATCACCACCATGCGCGTCACCTTACGCTCCGATTTCCGTCTCTTAGTCAGGCCTGCGCGCATGCCAGCTGACTTCACCTGCAATTACAAAAGGTTTAATCAGATTTTAGAAAGCCAGTTCAACTGATTTGATCTCCGATTAAAAATAAGGAGTGTTTAATGATACCTTGATGACAATGAGCAGGTAGCAAAGGGAAATAACAACCAGGGGCCCAAAGAAACCAAGGACGGATGTGTAGAGGATGAATACGATGGACCACACTTTCTCCGACACGGTGATGTTGCAGGTGTTGGGGTCCTCCTGTACTTGTGAGAAGATGGTGACCGGCAACACAGTCAAAAAGGCCATGACCCACACCAGGCTGCTGAAAATCTTGGCCGCATGTGGCTTCCTCCACTTGGCACTGCGAATGGGATAGACGACAGCCAGGAAGCGGTCGATGCTCATCAGCGTCAGGCAAAAGGTGGAGGCGAACTGGCTCATGCTGTCAGCGGTCATGCACACTTTGCAGAGAAAATTCCCGTACGGCCAGTAGGACAGGATACTGTTGGTTCCAATGAAGGGGATTCCCAGGATGTAGAGTTCATCTGCCACGGCTAAATTGAGGATGTACATGTTGGTTACAGTCTTCATCTTGGCATAGCGGGCCACTACGTAGATGGCCAGTGTGTTACCAATGAAACCCACAATGAAGACAATAGAATAGATGACCATAGTAGCTTTACTGAAAGGATGCAGTCCGAATACATCTGAGTTATTGCTGCTGATGTTGGCGTTGAGCAGAGGGGTGGTCGTATTGTTATTCGCAGACCCCAATGACCTGCTGTCCGTGTAGAAGAAGGGCGTGCTGGGATCCATCGTGCTTGCAGGAGAAATCTGCTTAAGAGAAAAGAAACACAACTGTTATAAATGATGCTCAGCCGCAGTCAGTACCAAGAAAGAAAACAACTCTTCACAATGTCCTGACCGTTTGACTGTTCTGTGAAATCCTAGTTCAGAGAATCATGTCAAACTTCTGCACACACACACACACACACACACACACACACACACACACACACACGCCCAGCAACACAGGTGCTCCCTGGCCCATATTTATGAGAGAGGGGGGAAACTTTCCAGTGAAGCCGTCTGGGCATGTGGCCAATGTGGTATTTCTTATAATGGGAAATTGAATTTTATAGGAGAATGACATGAGTTTAGCAGGTTTATTGACACTGTCAGTGGACTGGGAAGTGACTCAAAATCTGCAGTGATAATTTTGTTTGCACTTAGTAAAAAGGGGCAATGGGCCATCGAATATTTGCCAAAATCATTGTTTCAAGGCACTTTGGTATTTAAGGGATTAAAAATGATGGTGAGCTTTAAATATACAGAGTTGTGCTAATATATCAACATCTTGTGGTCAGAATGGGTGATAAGAGACTATCTGCTGTTGAAAAATGAGCCCTCCGGGATTTATCTCTGTCATCGTTCAGCAGGAGGGGAAGTAAGCTAACTACTGACTGTGTCACCTTTGTGTTCATGAAGTTACATGATTTAGGATTAGAAAAGAATCTGTTAAACATGTCAGTGTGTCTTTATCCRTTTATATAAACTAAATCCTAACATAGTTGCACAAAAATGATTTGTCTCACTTATTAAAAYGCAAAATTCATCAATATTCCAGACAGCAGATTTAAGGATTTGAATACAAATGTGAAATCTAAAGCACAATAATTCTATCAAATAAGCATTAATTTCATCCTCCTAACTTTACACAGTTTCTATTTTTAAATATCTACTTATATTTTGTTGAGATTTTGCATTTTAAATTGGTAAAACATTTAATTATTACATGTTCTAAAACCCATCTTATAAAGATAGCTCACATTTTTTGAAGTGGGATAATGCCGAAAATTTATGAATAATAAACATTCTACCTGTTGTAGATAATTTTTCGAATGACCTCAGTGTTGCCTACAAATTTCAGTGATTTATGTGAATGCCATTTTTTTGTAAAACTTCATGCTGTTATGCAAGAAAATACATTTTTTGCATATGTYTTCAGATGATTTGATGGTGTATATGATACCTATGTTTCAATTCAGTTTGTGGCCCTTCTTTTATACWGTATTAACACAGTCAAAATGTCCCTTTAGGTGTGTGCATGTGTGTGTATGTGTGTATGTGTGTGTGTGTCCAGTTACAATTCAACTGCATTTTTCCAAACTGAGGCAGATCAAAAAGCTATCTGCAGCAGGTGAGATCCTCATTGTTCATAACATTTCCACATGTCCACAGAACYTCACTTCAAAAGCTCTGAACTATCACTTTAAGTTTGGTACGAAAGCAACTGGTTGAATGTATTTATTATTCTTTTTTGCAAGGCTTTAAAATTCAATCACTCCATAATGTTTTTAAGGCAGTGAAGGCTTTAAATCCAGCTTTTTTGGGTGACAAAGTGATAATAATCTCATTAGTGTCAGATGAACCCCTGTCCCTGCTGTCACCTGCAGCCCTCTTTGGGAGAGGCCCTCCCCCACCCTCTCTCTCCATAAAACACACACACGTGCACATTCTAGTACAGTACATGTCTGTATAGGAACATTGCACTGACTTACATTCAAAAAACCTGACCCCTTACCCTAAACCTAACCTCAGGTACCTAAACCTAAACTTAATTCACACCCTAGTTCTATGGCATTTCACCCTGTGGTGTCTAGGCTTAGGTCTCCATAAGTACCAGTTGGTCCCCACAAATAGGTGTAAATACCAAAAATGTTCCCAACATTGTAGATAATACCCCGCCCGTGCGCGCGCGCAAACACATGCCCCATTCTCATGTTAGGCTGCTATTGGATGTATTCGGACAGAAAATTGTCAAATGTCAGACGGTGCAGCCCGAGGCTGTGAAGACGTGTTGCACAAATGCATGCCTCGACGTGGAGAACCAGTGAAGCGCGCTCCAAAACAAGGGAGGAGTGACGCGCAGCCCGCAGCTCGCTGTTGAGAAAACAAACAACTTGAAGCCCCTGTCCCCTTCAGGCTACTTGATATATTTTAGTCAAACAAATTGATATTGATTAATAAAATAATAATAATAATAAAAACAGTGAAAAGCCACATAAGAGCCATCAAAACATGGCTGTCTTAAACTTTAGAAATCGTGTTTTTGAAGCCGCATTCTGATCATTTTACACACTCTCCTGGGAAATATAACCCGAAATAAATGTAGGTAATTATGGAGCTCCACTGATAAAATCTGTGGGGAAAATGACCACTAGTCAATGCGTGGGAATGAAATTCAAAAGCAGTGTGGGAACTTGGTGATTTACGTTGACCATGGCGATATAATTTGTTACATATAAAGTAAAAAACATTTAATTTATTGTGTTTAATGTAGTTTTAGGATGCAAAATAATGATATTACGCATTTTTTTTGTTTACAGGAGAAGGTATATAAGGTGAAATGGAACGCAAATGAAGAAGTAGGGCAACTTGTTTTTTTACGCACGTACGCGTCACGTAGCCACGGATTTCCGACTTTATAAAATCCTTCTCTCGACCCTTTTGGGATCATGATTTCATACCAGAACTATTATTTCTTGGTTGTTTACCGTGTTTGGAGAAAGATTCAGTCCGTGCGCTCCAGCGCACCTCTCCGTTCTCCAAAGTGATGCGCGTCTCCAACGCTCCTGTCGCTGCGCTTCTCTCCAAGACACCTCACGCGCAACTTTTTCTAAGTTGCAAAAATCAAGCTAAAATCTCCATCCTGACATGGTGAAGAAAAATGAAAAAAAAAATGCAACATTTGGTTAGTTTCATTAGTGAGAGGAATCCTGCAGGGGACCGAAATGACTTGCTGCGCTGCGCGACGACAAGTCCGACTCAGAACACTGCCTGGACTGTGGGGTTTTTATGAGCGGAAAACGTCACCCAGCCTCTGGGTGTAAAAGTCCCACCCATGGGTGGTCATCATCTTACCAACATCAACTAAAGTAAAAGTCAATAAATCAAACATTTTTTCCTTGTTTTCTTGTTTATTTGCATAATTATTGCCAATCATCCGCTAAAAATTATATTTTCATTATCGCCCAAGTGTGCCCGTTTGTCTGTGTTAGCAAAATATTTAATGAACCAAAATACGATTTGTAATGAAACTCCTAGAAACGTATCGTTTCATGCACATCTGCAACTKATTACGTTTTGGAGTCCAATTCAAGATGGCCGCAACAGCTAATCGCCCACAACAAACTCAGCCATCTTTTACAGATGTTKAGCTAAAATTTGCTGTGGTTGTAGCTGATCTTCAATACACAGTCTGAGCTTGAACTGATCATGCGACGTCTTGTTACAAAACCTTTTCATTAAGTGTYGGCGTCAACCCGTCTGTTAGTAACGTACCTCATAAACCACCTGACAGAAGGTTATATGTTAATAATTAATAAGATATGGCTCAATGTACACGATGCCACAGCCAAGTGATTTCAGAAATCAGACAGTGCAGATGCTGAACAGAAATTTGGTGTGGTAGTACCCTGGGAAACGTTTTCATCATGATCTCTGAGCGCTCTCACAAGAACCACMCTGAATGGTGGTCAACACAAGGTTTGACCAAGGCCACGACTCCCTCTTTTCTCAGCTTTAGTTGAAATCAATGGAATAAAAGGTGAAAGGCGGTTTGAATTCTTAATTATTTCATTTCAAATGTGAGATTTAATGTTCTGATTCAGTTTAAGAAAACGACAAAACCACTGATGCTGCCTCAGATAAGCAGCAAACTGAGGGTGAGCTGCAAATGCTGATTCTGTGTGCTGAGGGGCGGCAAGGAGGGAGGGGGTTGCGGGGTGGATTTGATGGTAATTGTGTGGGAAAGCTTAAGCCATTAGTTTTATGTTGCTGTCGTCCAGCTCAATGCAGCGTGAACAGCAGCCTGCTGCAAACACAGACGCRCACAGACAGAGCAGAAGCCCCACTCGTCAGTGCGTCATGTCGTTTTCCTGAATGGCAGGAGGAACAGTGAAGCCGAGGATGTGTTGGGATTTCAGCTGTTTCAAAGCAAGYGTTTGGTTTCAGCAGGTGAACTGTGTCAGGGGGTTCCTGTGAATGTCAGGATTAACACCTGCTTTAACTGCATGGATTTTGTTTACACTAGAATGGAAGTTGTCTGATTTAGACCCAAGGAGATAGAAGGTTGCACCRACTTTAACAGATTTTACCTGGACTGTAGTTTCTTGTAGCTGAAGGCTCATAATTCTTTTTTCTTTCCTGAATATAAAAAAAGTCATATTTTCCTTTTTTTTTTAAAAAAATCAGGTCTGCTTTGGTATTTGCATGTTTCTGCTTTCCTGACTGCAACTTGTCCAAAACGCTGCAGCGTGACTCCAGACAGGCGAGACATGGTTTGCCTTTTTTGGCATTTTTTGCATGGACTCTTCATTCCTTTAAGAATTAATTTGTTTTTTGAGTTTTTAGCACCTCYGCAGCCTTTTAACTTTGCACGCTCCTAAGAGGGTCACAGATCAGGGGAATATTCATGGATCTACCAGATTTAAACCAAAGTCAGCAACAACATCTTTTGTCTCTATGTATTCTTTGGTCTAGCACTTTTTTGATTTCATTTTTGTCACTTATACCATAAAAACCTGGTGATAATGGAGCTGCTCATGTCAGAGAGTTCATTTGTCTGTCTGGGTTAGCAAATATCTCATAAACCTAATGGCTTATGAGATATTTTTGATGAAGCTACGATGACTCAGTTTTACAGATGTTGAGCTAACATTTGACAGGTGATGTGTATTCCTTTCGATAATGCCACATTCAGCTTAATAATTAACTTTTTTTTCATTATTTTTTGTGCGGTTTTACTCTTGCAGCCAACACTTTTAAATGTGAAATTTGATTAAACTTTAGCAATAAGYGGAGCTTTATGTGCACAACTAGAGCAGCCCTGTAATGAAACCTGTTGAGTTGTGTCTCACTGACATGAACAATTATAATAATAATAATTTAGCATTTATAAAATTGGACTATCATCTTATTACACACAACATCTCAGATATAAATGTTTTCACAAAGGACAAACTATCATCAGTTGTATGTACAGAAATACTAAATTCATGAGCTTATACAAACAGGTAATGCATTAAAATATTTATATTTCTATTTTAAAATTTTGTTGTTCCTTCATCCATTCTGAATATCTCCAAATAGCTCTTATTTGCCCTTTGTCTTYTACCACTTATCTCATTTTCTGCGGCTGTGTTTGCATATTTATCACATTTGCTAAAGTGATCTAATTTTCTCACAAAGAGCACCGGCCATAATAATAAGTTATGCTGACTGGCTGGCTGTGAAGCCGCCATGGATAGAAAACACCACAGATCAGGATGGATTAGATTAAACTAAACAAACACTGAAGAAGCACAAACACTTTCTCCAGTGCAGTTTAAAATATCACAAGAGATTAATAATCCACTTTGTGAAACACATGACTCGTAACAACTTGTCTCGAAGGGATAATTTAGATTTGAGGCAGGGTTCTGTGGAAAGCTTRTGATTAGTTATTATTTTACCTGCTGTAAAACAGATTTTAGAACAGCTRCGTGTGGAGAAATCAAATCAAATTCTGATCAGACTGAACTAATGGCTGAGTGAAGTCACCACCATTTTTAAATAAACTTTTACATTTGATTGCAAACAGCAGCACCTTCACCATTAATTTAATCACAAAACTTTACCGTTGTTTTGATTCACTGTAGACTTTGGCTCCAACCAGGCTAGATTTCTCCAAAATGAAGTCATTCAAAGAGCTATCAAGAACACATAAGACATTTATTGTTCATAACTTTTCTACAGAACCCATTTTCAAGACATTTAAACTTCCCTTTTAATCAATGAGCCCTAATTCAGATGAATATTTTAGAAGGAAATAATGCTTCATGTATTTGCTTCAGAACTCTTTATAAATGATTTAAATCTGAAACTTGAGTGCTTGCTTGAGTGTGTYGCAAATTTGCAAACACATTTAGCAGTAGACGAGTGTGAAAACATCTTTGCGTCTTTAAATTGCAGAACAGAGTGAGTTGTTATAATAAAAAGATGGATAACTTTCAGGCAGATTTAAACAATCGTCGTCACATTTCTGACTCAAATGTCATTTTTTCCCCACCTTTCATTCTTAATCACTCTTTTTTTCCCCTCATATGAGTCACACTGGCTTTGAGCAGCCTTTCTATATCAAGTCTTTTCCTTTTGGGCACTGAGATCATATCAGAGGGGTGTCAGTCTCCGACTTGGCTTGGCAGACTGCAACAAGCTGGCAGGGATCAATCTCTGTCGAGACAAAACGCGGACCGACTCGTGTGTGAGTGCAACACATGAGCTTTTGACCCATGCTAAATCAATATCCCACCTCTGCTGTAGAATAAAAACACACATCTTTGTGTGTTGGGAGGGTTGAAAGGAGAGAATAAATGAGAAGAYGTCCAAAGAGGCGACTGGGAGGCGAACGCTGTTTTAGGGGAGAAGAAAAAGGGAGTTAAAGACAGAATTATTCAGTCTTTGTGTTGCCTTTGCTCAACACTTGACCTTCTCATCCGCTTCTCTGTGGCAGTTTATAAATCTAATAGTCACTTTTTTTATGATTAACATAACATATTTTCTAGAGCCTTAACCCAAAYGGACAAAAATACAACTATTTTTGTGTTTATTATATTTATTAGTATTTTCACATTGTATGCAAAGAAAWAATATACAAAACAAAACACACAACCTACCCAATAAACAGCCAACATTCCCCTAAATACTGTCACCTACAAGGTCAATGTCAATGTCAATGTCAAATTTATTTATATAGCACTTTACAACATGCATAAAGCTGCACCAAAGTGCTGTACAGAGCAAAAAACAATACATCAATTAAATGCCAAAGAATAAAAATGAGTTTTAAGAAGCGATTTAAAATGATCCAGGCTGTGGGCACATCTAATCTGGAAAGGTAAATTAWTCCATAAARCAGGAGCAGCAACAGAAAAAGCTGTGTGTGTAAGAGAAAGAAAAACTCAGATCATACAAAAATCTATATCAAGATTTATTGAGCCACTGCAGCCAAAATTCCAAGGTCTGTTATTCCTGAACCACTGTTAATGGTTAATGGGATTATTGAAAAAGATCATAAACAATTTCTAAGTTTTATGACATTTATTCTCAGAGCCTCTCATCACGTACCTGATTTTCTCTAGTTTTAGGTTAAGCAGTACGTCTTTTATCCAGTTTGACACTATTGGTGGGGCAGCATCCTTCCATCTAAGGAGAATTAGGCGACATGCTAGCAAAGTTGAGAATGCAATTACCTTTCTGCCTCCAGTAGGTAAACATAAACCCTCAGAAGTAACTCCAAAGAGCAGCATGAGTGGGTTTGGAGTAATCTTAACTCCAAAGACAGCTGAGAGTGCTTCACAAATACCAGTCCAGTATATCTGTATCCTAGGGCAGTCCCAGAACATGTGTAGTAGTGTGGCTTCCTCTATAGTGGCTTCCTCTAATTCAAAATACAACTATTTTAAAACAGAAATAAAAACAAAAAGAAGCAGGGAACGTCCACATATTATATTGTTTGGGATGTGAAGTCGTGCACTTTGACTTGTGTTTGTCTGCCCTGCGTTTCTGGAGTGGGTGAGTTCTGYTGTCCATGACGGATGTCAGCCTTGCCAACATCCGTCTCTCGCCCACCACCTCAGAGGTGTTCCATAGGGTGGTCCAGGATCGAGCTGGCTCTCCTGACCACCTTATTTAGTCTCATTCTGTCACCTACTGTGCAGCCCCCCGGCATAAAACACAGACAAATTCCAGCCTGAATGTTGTATACTACTCTTAAACCCTTCCCCCCCATAAAAGAGCCTATGAGCCCACATTCCTGTACCC